TTTTTTTTTTTCAAGTTTCTTTCGTTCCTTGATACTTGTAACAAGTCATTCTTCAATCTACATTCAACATATTGAAGACCTTTTAAATAATCCAGCCTGCTAGGTACTTAATCAGTGCATCATCCATACATTGTATGATTAATGATTTTAAATAATCCTACCTTTTTCTGAAATTCAAAAATTCTTAGTCATTGTTTCACTTCCATCATTATATATTTATATCCATCCATTGTCAACCTTACACAGAATTTTATCAGTAAAAGCAGATTCATACATCCCCCTCCTCCTCCTCTCTTTGCACTAACAAATGGCCGTTTTTAAGTGCAGTAATATGTCAAAATCATCTCTATACTAATTAGCTTGGTGAAATTAAAAATATAACATTGTTTTGAGCACACCTCTTTTAAGGAAGGAATAAGCAACACTGACAATGGCACAGATGATGATACTATCTTTGCACTTTCATCATCGTTGCTTGCTCGACGTGATCTTGGAAACACTCTTGGTGCTTCAAAATATTCATGGAAACCTCTGGGATAGAATTGTTGTGCTTCAGTGACTATAGTAGCCAAACCCTATTTTCTCTTTATATTCTAATAAAATTCTGGACTAATAAGCAAAATAACAACTTTATTATTATGTTTACCTAGAAGAATCAGAGTTGTCAGCCAATTCCTCTCTTCTTTGATTGTCCTGAGCAGAAATACCTTTCTTGCCAAATGCAGACCTTTCTTTAGCATTTCCTTTTCTCAATCCTGCTTGAATTGCAGCTTTTGCCTGCATCATCAACCAAACAATAAATTCACCAAAAAAAAAAAAAAATCAACCAAACAGAAAGCTTTTTCAGCAGCTAACACAATGGCAGTTCTGAATCAAGAAGCCAAGAAATAAATTCAAATTTCAAGGGGAAACTTAGATCTCTCAGAAAGGAATTAGGGTATATCCAGTTGAACAGGTAGAACAGGAATTTGGGAATCCAGAATAGGTTCTTATTAGCAAAAGTTTAGGGGAAATTCCAGACATAAAAAAAGGCTCTGCAGGATATTTGAATATAAGAAGAATCCAGATAATTCCAGCAGTCAATGAAACATATGTTGAATAGATAATATAAGAATTTCAAATGAATTTCCAAACTAAACAAGAAAATCTAAGAATTTCATCATTGCTTAAGAAAGCAGTCAGAGAGTAAAAAGTTATATGTATATATATATATATATATATATGTATGTATATATATCAAATTCACCTCTGCGAGGTTTGTTGCACTGTCTTCAAGTGAGGCATTTGAAGTTCTGTCTAGAATACCTAGCCTGGATTTGGGAGTTCTAGGAGAATCAGAATCATCATGTTGACCACGTAATACGACAGTTCCACTAGTTGAGACATCCTCAAGAGAAGCATACTGGCTGCTAGACTAGACAACACATGAAAACCCAAATCAACTACATGGCTGGCACAGAAAACAGAATTGACTTCTATTAATTTTTTCACTAAGATAACAATAAGAGAAGCCTACAACAGAGCTTTGTCCACGAACCAGTGATGATGACAGAGATCCCCTAGCAGATCGTATAACAACAGTTCCAGATCCACTCATGGACATATCATCCTGAAATTGAACAGTTCAAGCAACAGATAATTTGAACTTGAAAATCCCATAGGTAATCATATATTTAGACATCCAAGTATGATAAAATCAAGAGCTCAAAACTAAAACTGGCACTGGGTTAACTTAAGTTGTTACTACATCCACTCCTGTGAACTTTGTTTCTTTCACATCAGATTGTTGCATTTTTCAACAAATTAACCATGTATTAACTCCTTCTAGTCTATTCTTACAAAAGATCTTAGATAATCCTAGATCTCCTTACACTGCAAACCTAGACCGTTAACCATTTTTGTATCTCTGGGTAAAAGAACTATGTAGGCTATTGTTCAAAGATAATCAAAATCTTACATCTTCATGATCGTTATCCCCATGCGAATCATAATATGGATCTCCATCATCCTTCCCAGAGGAAATGTCTTGAGAATCTTTAAGTGCATTACCACTCTCTGTAGTTACTGGAGTAGCCCGATAGTGTGGAATATCTGGTTTCCTTTCTTTGACCTGAGGAGGTTTTACAGCACTTCGGATAGTTCCACTACTCTGTGGTCCACCAATGCTGAAGTCCCATCCAGCATTTTTAAATGTTTTTCCCTGACTACTGTAAATTAAAAATTCAGAACAACGCAGTCAAGATAATTCAGAATGGACATGCACTATAATCAACTCATTCTACTAACCTAACTCGAACAGTTTCTTCGCCTCTCACATCTCTTGTTGCTTTCACAGTGTCATATCCTTCCCCTATAGCCTTGGGACCATTTCGAGGGGTGTCTGCATCCTCCTTTATTTGATACTTTGGGCGCTCTCTATTAAGAACACAAACCGATTGTCAAGAAACTAGAATAGGAATTTAAGAGATGCTATGAACTCATGACATGTCAGAAATTGTTACAGTTAAGTTGATAAAAAAAAAAGAAGTTAAAATATCAAAAGCATGTATCAACACGAATTAAGTTACTTGCATGCTAAAACTATCATAGTGACCATTCCCCATAAACACAAAAACTATAAGAGAATAAGCAACAAGTGTGGCACTCACCTGATTCTCTCCAGAAGCTTTGCGCTCTTTCTAGCATTCTTGATGAAACGGAGCTTGAGAAGTTCCTTTGCACTTGGCCTCTGATATTAAACAAAATAAATACAAAATTTACATAATATAATGCTCAACTTAAAAAATACTCATCAGTTTAGTTTTAGGAGGAGACAAACAAGCAGTACTTTAATTTGAGGTCAAAATTCAGCAGAAGCAAACAAAAAGGGTTTAACTTGAACCAAATCCACATATAATCTAACATATTTGATATTTCAATTAGTGGTTGACCAATGTGGATCTTACTTTTGGTAAGATAATCCCTTCTGCAGCAAAGCACAATGCTTGGCAGATCTAAAATGTTCCATTCAAAGGCAACAAGTAACTGAAACTGAACTCTGTTTGTTCTTCTTATGAGCTCTTTTCGACAGCCAAATTTATTTTATTCGTATTGTAGCTTTAATCTCAGATTGTACTATCAATGGAATTACAAATAAAATGAAGTACAGTCCTAGGAGGGCTTAAATTGTGGATTATTTCATTCAACATTATCTCCCCCCCCCCCCCCCCCAAAAAAAAAAAAAAAACTCCACCTACCCTCTAGGGTCTTCCTATTTTTATTTTTATTTTTTTTTCCTAAAGGCGAAAAAAAACCTTCCATTCCTATCTCCAAGGAATATTCACAATCACAAGTTATAAAAATGAAAATGAATAGTGGGATATGTGGAGCAAAAATGATTACCTCAGCCGGTAATTTCTTTAAACAAAAAGAAACAAATTCTTTCATAGGACGTGAAAAATGCTCATCCAACTGCAAACAGAGAATTCTGATGTTATTTAAACTATTATTTTACAAGAATTTAATCAGCCTTATATCAGAGAATATTGAGAGAACCTGTGGTGGGTTTTCTCGAGGTATGATAAAAAGAACTCTCATAGGATGTAGGTCTGCAAGCGGAGGTTCTCCTTTGGCCATTTCAATAACAGTAATGCCCAATGACCAGATATCTGCCTGTATAAAGTAAGAAGTGCGATGACATAATATTCATATAGCTCAAGAGGCTCAGCCAAAGACAGATTTGTGGGTGCAATGCTTTTGCGTTTAAGAGAGTGAAAGAGGAGAGGAGGAAAGAGAAGGAGTGCTTTAAAGCAGCAAGGCATCAAAAAAAAAAAAAAAATAATAATAATAATAATAAGGAAATTCAAATTTTACTTTCTCATTGTATCCCTCGGAGTTCTGAATCACTTCTGGTGCCATCCAGAATGGTGTTCCTACAAAAGTCTGACATTGTTAACCATATATTAGCAAAGAACCAAATCACACCATTTGTTTAGCAAATTGATAAATCAAATGACCAAAGCACACAATTTGTTACAGTGCTAATCTCACCTAAAGGTTGACAGATAGTTAATGGGAAAAGAAACATTTTAGTCACTTGATAGGTATCATTTACGTTCTTCAAAAAGACAACTTAACAGTTCCACAGATCCACACACAGTGGATAAATAGGAAGTTAGTAGATTAATGACAATGGTAGCCATGTGTATAGAACAAAATTCACAATTTCAGTCAGTTGATAAGTATACAACAAAATTCACAATTTTCTAAATGTATGAGGAAAAACAACCCTTGCCAACCTTCAAAACAAAAAGCCAGAAACAGAAACAACTCAAGAGTTACAAACACTGATAATCCTTAATGTATCTAAACCATACTTGCTAACAATATAAAGGAAAAATACAAATCCATTCACACCTATTGGACCAATAATAGACCTTGATAAATCAAAATATTTACCTTCCTCCTCGATATTGTTCTTGTTAATTGTGCAGAAACACCAAAATCTGCAACCTGTTAGAAGGTGATAAAACTTATATTCTAGAAGCAAATGCATATAAAGTCCCAACATAATATGCATATTCTAATGGACAATCTACTTAAGTAATTCATGCCAATTATGAGCCATTTTTGTGAAGGAAGTACCTTAACGTCACCATTCTCAGTCAATAAAATGTTTGCCGCTGCCAAAGTGATAGCAAAAAGATTGTTACTGATAAGAGGTTAGTCAAAGCACTTGAGGCAAGACACAAAAAGAAAATAACATTTCACAAAATGAAGAAAATAATTTTAGTTTGAAAGGCTTCTCAGAATCTGTAACAAATATATAAGTAGCAAGAGAGAGGTAAAAGAACACCTTTGATATCTCTGTGGATTTTCCCTTCAGTATGTAAATATTCAATTGCATGCAACAAATCCCGAGTAATGCAAGAAATTGACATTTCATCCAGTGGAGGGCCTGATTGGAGCTGCAGATGCAAAAATCTTCTTTAGGTCTCCAAAAAGGAAAATAATATTAGGCAATTAAAGTCAGATGTGCACCAACACATCTGTAAGTATACATATCTGAATGCCCACAATATCTTAGCAAAAGAGAGAAACCAACGGTTCCATATAATACTGATAAATAAGAAATTACCCTCACAATGCACTTGTGAACTCAAGCTACTATAGGAAAAGAAGACAAGCAACTAACAAATTCTATTAGGAAAATGCCTTGCCACTAGAATGGAAGGACTGAGAACCGCAACCCAATGAAATAAAAGAGACAAAAGTTACAAACAGGCCTTTAAAGCTTTTGAAATTACCATTGTGCACTTCAATTTGACACATGATACTAAGAATATCATTCACATACTCTTGTACTAAGTTATTTACATTTCAGAGTTAGGTACACAATCAACCCAATTAAATAAAAGAAACAGAATATCATCCAGATACTTTTGTACTAAGTTATTTACATTTCAGGGTTAGGTACACAACCAACCCAATCGAAAAAAGTAAACAAAAGTTAACAAGAAAAGCAGCAGGAAGATTAAGCTCAGTTGCTGTAAGGCTATAAACAACAGAAGTAAAAGGAAAATCCAGACTTTATCATCTTTTGCACAGCCTCAGTTGTCTAATTCTAGTCTGTTTTTCTTTCATACTATCATGCCCTTATGTTGCAGCCCTATCAACATTTTGTTGAGGGGGAACAAAAGGGGAAAGAGAACAGATGAACTCAAATTCACATTATGCAAAGTACAGAGGCAAGTAGTAAATACAATATTATACACCAAAGAGAGAGTTCGCATTTCAGATTTTCAGGAGAGAAGTTAAATACTATTTTCTTTTAGCACTAATCTTCAAATCCTAGAAAATGCACTTCAAATCTAAGAACTCAATATGTAGAAGGCAACAATAAGAAGTGACCTACTAGGTCAGCAACTGAGCCACCAGCCATGTATTCCATTATTATCCATAGTTTAGTCTGGTTGAGATAGGAACCATAGTACTCGGTTATATATGGAGAACGACATTGTGACAGAACAGCAATTTCCTGGCACAGAATGAAACAAATGAGTAACAGAATTATTTCTCATAATGGACTCAGTAAAATATTTGGCCAATAATATGTACGATCTCAGAGGGAATACCTTCTGGATATCATCAATCTCATCCTCACTATGAAATCCAAATAAAATCAAGCATAAGAAACAGAGGTAACAAGAGACACATAAGTACAAGCACATTAGAAATGATATCCACTTACGATTCCTCTAAATCAATGACCTTGATAGCAACTTCTTTGTTTAGCTCCTTATCAAACCTACATATCAGCAAAGGCATTAGGCTTCCCAGCTAATGTGCAATTGATCTTCAAAGTTTAATGATGATATGTCATACACCAAAAATTCAATTCTAAGAAATGAAAAAACTAGAAAACAAAAGAGGAAAATACAGAGATAAAGTTTGCAAGTCATCATATTGTGAATTACAGGAGCTCACTTTTCATTCATCACAAGTCATAAGGCATGATTTAAACAGCAATGGCCATATCCAACATGGTTATGAGTGTCCATTCTCTAACTTTACCAACATAAAAAAGCATCACAATTACATCAAATGAATCAGCAGTTAACTAATGAAAACTAAAGCTGCTCTATTTTATAATTGGTGGTTGGAAGAAGGAAGGCTATGTGAGAAGATATCAAGGGCTAATATTCAGAGTTGGGGCGAACACTTAAAGGTGGCAGACTGGTGGGTTAATGGAAACTGGAATATCCCTCAGAGTTTCATTAGAAGACATCCACATATTGCTGAGTTAATTAAATGCAGAACTTTGACTCAGGATGTGGATAAAGTTATATGGAAGGCAGCTAGTTCAGGTAATTATACTATAAATTCTGCTTATCATTTGCTGAGGAATAAAGCATGCAAGGTCCAATGGTCCTTCTTGGTTTGGTCCTCTGTTATTATTCCACATCCACAACATTCTGTTATAGTATGGTTAGTCATTAAGGGGAGACTGAAAACTATAGATTGCTAGCAGGTAGAGGAATGAATGTGAATAGAAGATGCATATTTTGTGAATATGAGGATGAAACCCATCAGCATCTTTTTTTTTATTGTCTATTTACTCAACTGCTGTGGACAACTGTTTTGAGAAGTAATGGGATACCTCATGTATCGCCAAACTAGACCAGTGAATGGAGGTGGCTCAAGAACTGTGCAGGGGAGAGAAGTCTGCTGGCTAAGAGGATTAAGGCACTGTTTGCTGCAACTGTCTACAGTTTTTTTTTTTTTTTTTTTTTGACTAAACACCCTGGTATCTGGGGACCACATTGGACCCCGACAAATCAGGAGTTGAGCCAAGTTGAATCCCGTAAGGGGAAAGCTCTCCCAACACCTATCTCTCTATTCACAAGATTCAAATTCAAGACTTGCTTAAGGAGAACTGAGCTCCTTCCACTCGGACCAACAAGTTATTGGTACTGTCTACAGTATTTAGCAAAAGAGAAAGAACAGCATCTTCAAGAATGTACAGTGCACCATTGAGACAATAGTGACTTGGATTAAGTGTTTAGTTGATGTGAGAGTGAGGAATTTGTGATTTCCACACAGGTATGCCTAGGGTTACTACGTATTTGAATGTTCTTTGTTGCTAATGGAAGATGCTTGCCATTCTCCTAAAAAAAAAAAAACTAAAGCATACAGAGCTAATATGTAGTGAATTAAGTTCAGGTATTAGCAACATCAGACATGTTTTTATTTTAGAGTTTCAATGCAAATCATTCCTGAACCTACTGCACCGAAGGCTTCCCAAATTTCATCACATTTATAAATTTATAAAGTTTGTAACATACTCAGAGTTCAAACAATAAGAAACACAAGCACATTATTCAAGCTTTCTTGTCAGTACTTAATGTGAAAAACAATAAACCATCAATCAAGCAGACTTTGATTGACCAAATCAAAATAGACTTACGCTTTATACACATCACCAAAGGATCCTCTCCCAATTAACTCAAACTGACTAAATCTAGACCCTGCTGCCTCTTGCAGACCCGCTAGATCAGCCATTTCTACAGGGAAAAAATAACCCTAAGCAAAATTGATCTGCAGATCAAATGCAACAAAAATTTTGAAACTGTACCAGAAATTCAAGCCAAAATCATCAACATTTCCTCTCTTTTTCAATAGCCACTCCCAACTTTGCGAAATGTGTAGCTACAAACTTCTAAATCAGCCACGAAAACAATCCTGAAACACCACTGCCAAAAGATTAAACAAACTCCCCAAGAAAAAACGCACACCAAAATATTATATAAAATAAAGTTTAACCCAGAAAATAAATACCCAAATCAACCACATTTCCGAGATCTATAAAGAACACAAAAAAATCATCAACAAATGTGAATCACAATGCAGAAGGCTCTTACACTTAAAGCAAAGCATGCTACAAAGGCCAATATTCTTCCATTTCTGTTAGGTGGAGAGTTGTGACAGCGGAACAGAAAACCAAAAAGAACACTTTTTAACAACTACCCATAAAGAATTTCACCCTAATGATGGTGAAACGCCAACATTGGCGTGGCTTAGAACTTGGGTTTTGGGTTTAATTCTAAATCCAAATGCTGATGTCTCCTAATAAAGATTGATTTCTCTGTACCTGTTGATTCGCAGATCCTTGTGATTGGTTTAGATGAATCTTGTTGGGTGTCTGTATCTCTCCGTGCTTCACCTCCTCCTCTCTCCTTTCTTCTTCTTGATTGGAGAGACAAACGAGGTAGGGGTAGGGGTTTCCGAGAGCTGCGAAAGAGATCGAGAGTTTCTGTTAATCGAGTTTCTGGGAGAAGTAAATTTGGTCTGTTATGAAATTTATTTTTCTTTTCATTTTTTAAATTTAAAGAAAAGTGTTCGATGTTTAAAAAAAAAAAATTAATTTGTATTTAAGAGTGTAATTAATATAGTTATTTTTTTTATAATTTTAAATTATATAATAAAAAAATATTTTTTCAACCTTTAACTCTCATTTACCTGAATATTAATTCAAGCTATTTAAATTGTTGATAATTAATATAATTTTTAGTTATTAATTTATATAAAAAATTAAAAAAATTAATATTAATTTTAGTAACTTCAATGTTATATTTATCAATGTAATTAATTAATTATTAAAATTAAAGTCAAATTTTATATTATTATATAATTTAATGGTAAAAAATGTAATACATTCTTAAATTATGAACAATGTTATTATCATATTTTTAATTATTAATATTATATTTTTTATTTTAATTGATTATTATATTTTTTAATTTATTAAAAATATAAAATTTTAAAAAAATATATTATAAAAACATAATAAATAATTTAATTAAAAAATATAATATTAATTATTTAAGATATGACAATAATCTTAAGGTGAAACTATACTTTTATGGCACATTTTTAAAAAC